TTCTTCGCAAATGTGCAGCATACAAGATTATGACTTGTTCTCTTCCTACTTTTTTACATTTTATCCAATAGTCATAAATATTTATCCGCTCTTTCCAATAAGTATCATATAATTGCTAAACTTTTAATAAATATAATGTATTGTACAATTTTCATAGTGACTATGTATGAATATAATATAAAAATATGTTTTTAAACTTCTTTCTTATAAATTACCTTTAGAACTATAACACTGAAAAGATACTACAACTTTATCACCAACCATGAGGGAAGGTCGTTTTTCTGCTAATCCTGGCACTTTAAGCATAAGATAATCACCGCATCGTCGCAGAATCGCACTTTTCATGTTGTATCTTTGTATATGTATTATTAGACTTATTTCTTCCAGAAACAATAAAATGTGAAAACGGTCCTTATATGTCTCAAAGGAAAGCTCTTTTTGAAGACAAGGTAGTTGATTTCCGATAGCGATTTCGCGTTCCGTGAGTGACAATTTATTCTGCATAATATCATAAACTGTATTCCAAATGTATCGTGGTATTTTGAAGATTCCATTGCGTATTTTGACAAACGCAGGTGGTTTAGATGGTCTTACTCCAGGGATACATGTAGTTTCAATTAACTCATTCAAGTCAGGTAAACAAAATTTCTCCCTTTTTTGTTGAATAGATGCGGAATTGAATTTTTGTGAAACTTGTGAAATATTCTTTGTATTGATATTTATATGAAACACTCTAGCTATCTTAAAGTCTTTGAAATTAAAGATAAATTGTTCCTCGGACGTACCAATAAATTGTGGTTTGCATTTGAATGTGTAAGTAACGCTTTCTGAAGGATTTATTACTGTGCTAATACTTGTATATATCGGTGACTCTAATGACAACTGAGATGGAGTCTTCTGTGGCACAAAGGAACCACTTTGTAATAAATGAGCATAACTAGCGTTATTTTGTATCGAAACCTCCAGAGTACCCTCTTCCTCTATGCCCAAATTGAATTCTAATTTGTCGTCTATGACAATACCATATTTGTTTCTTAATAATTCGGCATCTAATATGGAAGGAGGAATATTGTTTGTTAAGGTAATTAATTTTTTTGGAGCCTAAAATAAGAAAAAAAAACAAGATAAATATTTAAAAATTATATAATAATATCATACTATACAATAACTAAAATCTTACCTGTATTAATGGAGTTATAGCTAATGATCTCCATTTGTACTGTCCTTGATCACTTTCTATGCTTTCAGTCACTACATTGTCACCAACGCAGGGAATATAACCCATACCACACAAACGTTTATAAAAAATTATATTCTTATTAATTATTCCCACCTTGTTCTCTGGATTATACTTTGATATCACACCACAATTTAATTGAGATCGCAACGGTTTGATTCCATTAATCTCCAAGATTTCGCCCATCCAATCTTCAGATTTATTGTTTAATTCGACTAAGCAGTCTAATATCAACCAATCACCAACTATGGGAATGAAGTCGGATCGCACTGTGCACAAATCAATGCGAATATTATTCGGCTCGACAATGGCGATTCGACCTTCGCGTTTTGTCACTTTAACAACTATATTCGTTGATGTCATACAAGTGTGGACATCGTTTTTCACATTAATGTTTTCATTATTCCAGTCGTCATTTATTACACAAATAATTTTTCGTACTTTTGGCTTTGCATTTGGATCCCGTAAATATAACAGGTAGTAAATCTTATCACCTATTTTGAGATTATTAGTCGAGTCATCGATTATATTGTATGTATAGAAATCATCTATAAGGATGCAATCTGTAGAGATGTGGGTAATACTTCCCGTCTTGTAATAACATCCTTCTTTGTTCAATGCTTCTTCTTCCTTTTCAGTTTTATCTGTGTTGATCTCATTTGCAAGTTCTATACGAGATATAATTTCATTTATTTCTTCGTCTGTATTCTTTGTAGTCTCCTTTGAATACACATAGCTCATAGCATATTGAATCCCATTATACATTAACGACAACATCTTTAATTCCTCTGGCTCCTATCTAAGTACCTATGAACATAAAAGATAGTTTAGATATTTAAAATAATCATAATACTCATGAGTATCATTTATCTTGGTCTAATATTTGATAAACAACAAAAATAAAATGATTTCAAGAATATCACAAGCATCAAATGAACATGGTCTAAGGATACTTTCCAGCAAGAAGCACTTGTGATAAATTCGGTCACTTGTATTGGATTAGTGCAATTTAAAGGCTGTATTCCGTTATTCATTGCAAGTATTGAAAACCTATCATATAACTCTACTTGTTATTATCTCATTTACGAGTTTTTGTCGTATAATAAAAATACACAAATAAAATAGTCTTAAGAAGTTATATATTTAGTAATGAATAACAGAATGCAGTCAAAGTTTTAGTATCTAATGCACTGATATGGTATAACTTTACAATAAAATAATATATAACTATTCTCTGTTAAATAATGTAACAATATCATTATTGACTATAACATGTACTTAATTATTTGAAATGTTTATATTTTACTTTGCTAATAGATACAGTGCAATACAGGAGACATCATTATATCCTTGTTGTTTGATGTTAACTAAGATAATATGTTATGTTGTATCATGTTTTGTTGAAAAGTATCTTAAGTATTTTCTATCTAAATAATATAAAAATGTATATAAGAAAAACAAAGTCATCAATGAAGCAACCAAGCAACGAAAAATTAAAAATACTAGGAACAGAAAAAACACGATATTTACCGATCTATAGATTGATATCTCCACTCTGTCGCTTTGAGATAGTCCAGTTCCTTTCGCAAGAATTGTACGCGTTTTGTATGAAGTTCCTTGAGGAATCGTTTGCGCTGCTTCTGCTCTTGTAATTCAGATTTCATTTGATTCAGGATCTTGGATGTTTGAGTCGCGCTTGAGGTCAGCTCCGAATCTTGGGATTCTGGCGTTCTCTGCCCCGTCGAGTGCCCTAAAGTGCTCGTCGACAGGGTAGATGAATTCATAATTCGATCTGCCAGTCCTACAATAATCGATCATGTGCTATCATCGTCGCATAATCACGCACAATGTTAAATATTAGATATCTAACCTAATTTTTACTTCGAAGTCTCGAAACATGAATGATGAGTGATGAACAGTGATGAGGGCTAAGATCTAGGATCGGGCATCGTAGTCCCAGATCCTCATATAAACACCGGCATTTTAACATCAAATGTGATTGGTGAAAAATAGATAATGGGGGTAAATTTCACCCTCATAACTCATTCTTAAGCCCGAATTATATTTTTTCTCCACTCTCCAGCATGTAATTAAATTTTTCACTAACTTTTTAGCATAAAATTGTTTCAGTTGTTTTATTTTAATTTTAACAATAAACGATTTAAGTCAATTGAAGAGATATATATCGATTATATAAATCTTCAGCAATATGATTAATTATTATGATTATTATTATTAATTATTTTATTATTATTATTATTATTATTAATTATTTATTATTATTTTTCACTAATGAAATTTCTCAACTGTTTCATTTTGACAACAAATGATAAAAATAATTGAGATCATGATGTAAGAAAACTTCTTACATCATGAAATTTACTAAAATATTGAAAGTACATTTATAATATATTATGATAAGTAATCTCTTAATTGGTATAAATGATTCCTTATAAAGTACTTTTTTAATCTATCATCGATTGAAAGGCAATATGAGAAAGGTGCCGAGTAAACGTAGTCTCCCAAAATTGTCACGCTCGCGGCTGCCACAGAAACCATATGGATTCTGTTGCGAAGAGAAGGATCAGGATCCTGAGAAACGCTATGATATGCGAAAGCCGCCGTTTACGTCATCCTTGGTGAACGTCGTTCTAGGCAGCGGTGGACCAGGAGTGAAATTTCGCGTACAGGACATCGGTCCGCCACCGTATACCATTCAACGCAAAATTCTCGAGACTAAAGATAGAGCTTATCTAGGACGATGCAGAAGATGCCGGAGTCCCCTACGATGGTTCCTAGAGGACGAAATCGCACTCGCGCGCGAATTCCTCGCTAAGGAGAAACGTGACAATTACAATGCAACTGTCAAAAGGAATTTAATGATCGCTAAACGAAAGGGTGACTTCAAAATACGAAGCAAATTGATTAAATCTAAAATTTTTGTCACGTATTTTAACAATGATTGAATTATATTTTTATATATATTATATTTTTTTAATATTAGGTGTAGTAAAAAGAAATCCATTATTTTTCCAATAGATGGCTTTAATAATCTGTATCTCGTCTACGCGTGATACAGATTACTAAAGCCATCGGAAAAATAATGGATTTCTTTTTACTACACCTAATATAATGTATTGCATCTATTAATATGAAATTTTTAAAAGTAAAAATGTATATTTATATGCTATATTATATATGTATAATTAATATTTTTTTTACATATGTTACATATAATTATTATTGATATCATTAATAATTAAATATACTTAGTGATACTAATTATATATAATTGAAGAAATATTTTGTATTTGTACATAATTGAAAATCATTAATCAGAGTTCTTTAAATTAATAAAGCCAGAGCATGCAGTCGTAAAAAAAGGAATTTGAAGATTGACTTCTGAAATTACCAGAACAATTCGAGAAATAATTTGTATGTTCTTCGAAGAAAAATCCACTATATACTACAGCGCTGTAACAAAATATTTTACAAAGATAAAAATAAAAATGAATGATGAAATTTCATGTATTTGTAAATTACAAATTATATAAATGCGGATAATTATAAAACGCGGCAGAATATCTTGAAATGTTTATTAGAAAAATATATTTTAGTAGAATACAATTACAATTTATACAGATTACAGCTTTGCTTGTCATCTACTATATCATAATGTTATACATATTAATAAAGAACTGTAGGCAGAAATAAAGGAATTGCAATACATGGCATAGGATGTAAAATGAAGTTACAATTCACATTTGATTTAGTATTTATGTATACATAGTTTCAATATATAGGAAAATGTACACAACATAATAACGACACAAAAAGCAGCTTTTCTTTTTCTTACAATGCTCAAAGAAACTTCAAATTGCATCACGTTTAAATACTATTGTTGCGTTTTATATGTTGCGTAATTATAATGTTATAAAAATAATTTGTAAATGTTATTTTTTTAAAGAATGCATTTCATGGAAAAAAAATAACTGCATAAATATTTCATTTCTTAAGAAATGGCATTAAAAATTGCTCCAAATATTTGATTATATATAGTTGCCAAACATGTATGTCAAAGAAATAATACTTTAGTTTGTTTATTATATTGATAAAAAAAATTGAATATATAATTGTAATAATGTTGTTTGAACAAAGACAAATTTAGTTATCTCAAATTGAAAGCAAAAACTGGAAAGATATTGTTTTAATTGGATGATAATTTTAAAAAATCATGAACATTAATTATCATTCAAGATAAAACAATAATTATCATTCAAGATAGAACAATAATCATCATTCAAGATAGAATAGCAATTATTATTCGATATTATAAACGAGTTAATTAGCATCAGATATAAAAACGTAATTCAGTTATTGATTAAGTAAAATCTTTGGTTGTATAATTTGGTGTGACGTATATCATAGTAGCAACGTGTAGTAAATTTATAAGAAACACGGCATATTTGTGTCGTTTATAAAAAGGAGAAAAAATTAAACTTTTGCCATACGTTATGTACAGCTTTTTTACTAAATATGCATTACATACTTATGTAAACATAATAAGAAAAATACAACAAATAAAAGTGATCTTTTAGAAAACCTATGTTATACAAATTCTTATACTGTAAGTTTATACGTACGTACATAATGCGTAAGTACATATAAATTTGCAATACGTATCCGCTATGTTATAAAATTATACCATCTATTTAGGAATGTTGTCCTCTAAGGAGATACTGAGTACCTCGTCAGTTTCGTTTGTGTCGAGGACTGATTGTACATAGGGATTCACGACAGCGGTTACAATTTTCTCCGAATGTGATATTTTTGGTGTCAAAGAACATTTTGCTTCTGTTTTGCTTTCATTTAACTTAGATGACTCGCCTTCGGAAACACAAAGTATATCCTCTGACTGTTTTTCTGAATGACTATGTTGCATAATTGGCTCAGTCTTAATTATGGGCGATTCCGCTGTACAAGATAATCCCGAGGAAGAATCTGCGTGACTCGTATCTGTGTTCTCAGAATGACTTTCCAAACTATTGTTTATACTTTCAGGAATGGTTTCGTTTTTTGTTGGATTTTGCCTTTGAATCTGTTCGAGATTGATTTGTTCTTTTGGCAAGCGTGATACCATTTCTAAAATTTCGGATTTTGAAGATTCGTTTGCATCAGATTCCATCTTAATGCATATTTCTTGTTCCACATTCTGAACTTGACTAGTATGAAGTTGCGTGTCCTGAGGCTGTGCTTCAGTCGTTACAGATAAAACTTTGTTCGATTCCAAATTCTCAATGTCTCTTCTTGTATTTAATAAATTTGCATCATCGATTTTCTGTGATTCTAAATCGTCAGTGGCATTTTTTATCATATTTTCAATTATTTCGTCAATGCTAAGTTCTTTTACATTGGACGAGGATGTCAAATATGGTTCGATAGAAGTAATTGCATTAGAAATCGTTTCATTTCTAACCGTGACATCTAAACCCTTCTCCATTACGACTGCGCTGATAATATCTTTCAACATTGAGGAAGTACATTCAACTGCTGTAATTTCAGAACTGTCATCTATGTTCTTTTTAATTTCGCTAAAGTTTGCAATTTGCTGGTCTTCGCATTTCTCATCTATATCAGAGTTAGTCAATTCATTAGATGCTACTTCATTAATTTCAAGCTTTTTCATTTGATTTATACATTCCACATCATCCGTTTGATTTAATACTGTTTCTTTATCATTTATTAATTGATATTCATGTGACATTGTTTCTTGTATTTCCATATCGATATTATTTTCAGCAATATTTTCATCATCTGTTTCGATTATTTCTATAACTTCTGGAATATTTTCGCATTCAGATAAAAGATCAATAACATTTGTTCCGTTTAGGCATAATCGAACGTGCATCGGATCGTCCTCGTCGAGACTTTCAAACTGGAACATCGTGGCTCCTTCAGCAGCGAGTTCCTTAAATTTGTCGCAAGCTTTTTCACTCCATTCAACAATGTTGTTTGGTTTTTCCAGCGCGCATAGTTTCGATAAGATTGGAATATTCACGATATCCTCCGGCAGCACTCGCAATTCCTCCGTAACCGCAGAGTTGCCGTAATCCATGTACAGGACCTCCGTACCCTCTTCACAATGCCTGACTATCTTTGCTCTATACCAATAACCATCCTCGGGATATCGAGCTGCACAGACCATGCCCACATCGAGGTTGTTCAACGTGAGAAAACTTTCCGCATCTCGTAAACGATCCGACATTACCTCCAGTTCGCTTATACTGCTTTCGGCTTGAATCCAGAACTCGTTTGGACAGTTGATATGACTGACCATCACATTCGGCGAATTCTCTTCACCGAGCGGTGGCAATCTCTCCTCTATAACTGGCAAATTCTGTTCGCACATATTACCAAGAATATCAGCGACATTTTGACCGTCTAGGGTTAGTTTCACCAATGATGTTTCTTGGTCTTTCAGAACGTCTAGGAGGAAAATTGTCGCGCCGTCTGCGGCCAATTTGACGAATTTTTCACGTGCCTGCTCAGACCATTCCGCGACTTGCGATGGCAATTCCAAGCAGCACTTTCGCGACAAAGGCGGTATACTCGCTAAGTCTTCTGGAATGGTACGAATTTCGGTGGATATTGCAGAATTTCCGTAATCGATGTATATGACTTGCGTGCCGTTATCGTCATGAGAGACAATGCGCGCTCTGTACCACTGTTCGTCCTCAGGATACTTGGCGACACACAGCAAACCTTCTTTCCTTTCTTCAATCTTCGAGAACATATCGGCGACCATGAATCTATCCACCATCACTTCTAAATCGGCAACTGATTTTTCTTCCTGAACCCAAAACTCACTCGGTGAATTAATGTGGCACACGAAGGCTGAGTGCGGATCCAATTCAAGATCGACTATCTCATTTACGAGTTCCTGCTCGATATTAATTATGATTGCATGTTTCTCTTCGACTAATGTCTCGCTAACGCTCTTGTTGTCTATGAACAGTTCTACGCGCTTAGGCATAGTATCTGCTACTATCAGAGCTTGAAGACTCTCCACTGATGTTACTATGTTCTGGAATCTCTCGCAAGTCGATTCGCTCCAATCCTCTGTATCTACAGGAATAACATCAAGTCTGCATTTAAATGCGAATATTTCTAAGTTCTTCCAGTCGTCTGGTATCTGTCGAATGTTACTCGCCTTGTTATCTATGACATCAGTATTACCATAGTCTATGAACCGGACAGTTGTGATATCTTCATCTGCATCTAATACCTCCGCGCGATACCAGAGATCATCAATCGTATAAACGGCAACACACAAAGTGCCTTCTTCCGGTATACCGTCTATCGTCAAAAAATTGGAAACTTCTAGCTGAAGTTGTTGTTGTTTTTCATTAAGAGCTGTAATCTTATCCATATACTGTAACCAGAACTGACTTGGAGAATCCACATGAGATACACATACGTCGAATCTGCCAGGTGTTGTTTCGTGTATCTGAGATGCTAGTTGAGGTGCTGATTCAAATGTTTGTTCTATTTCTACTAAATTCAACGAACGGAATTTATCGCTGAGTTTTTCTCCGTTTTCAGTTAAATCGACGACCCATTTTTTGTGCACGTTATAAAATGTAGCCACAAAATCTTTACTCATCAAATGAGTTTGCAATATATCTTTCTGTTCAGCCTCAGTGCCAGTAAGAGATATGGACAACGATACATTTATACCTAATTGGGGGGGTTCATAAAATTGCGGTTCCAAAACCATGAGTGAGTCTAGGGCAACTTTCTCCGAATTGCCGTAGTCAATATAATTTATATAGGCCGTCGTTTCGGTAAGACTAATGATTTTCCCTCTGTACCATTGGCCGTCGTCTGAATATTTCGTCGCGCATAATAAATGAATTTCTGGTTTAAGATTTTGTCCAGAACTAGCATAATATTGTTGAAGATCTCTCGCTAGTTTAGTCTCAAGATCCACATCCAAATATCGTTGCAACCAGATGTTAGTAGGATGATCCGCATATGATACAAAGACATTGTGAGTTGAACTTAAAATGGGCATTGCACATACGGGTGGTATTTTCTCTTCGGTATTAATTATCCCATTACCGAATAGATCGTACAATTTTACGATAAGTCTATATAAATAAAAGATGTTAATATCCATTAACCAAAAACTTGTTTGTATATTTATAATTACAGCAAAATTTACAAACCTGCTATTATTGACTTCTTCCACATAAATTAATATTTCTGTGCCTTCAAGTTCTTTCAATTGTTTATCTGCATTGGGCGATGCTGTTACATTTTGTAGAGAACATTCTAATGCTTGGTTTTGCATGGTTGCGAGCTCTCCAGGTAGAGCCAAAGCCTGGATCGTTATTGTCACATTAATAATAGAAATTGAAATGAATATTAAAATTATAAATTTATTTATTCATAGTATATAATTATAGTATATAGTTATAATTTCTACCAGATTCAATATGTCATAAGCTTATACTGCGACATGATGTATGGTATTAACTTGCTTGATGGAATCAATACTTGTAGTTTTTATAAATATCTTATAATTTATTTTATAAATATCTGTCTCTATGAAAACTCACATTATCCAAAATTTCATCGTACATCCCGGTATCAATGAGTTTTACATCAAACCCGTTGGACCGTGTACAGTTAATCACTACAGCTCGCCTCCATGTTCCATTTGTATTGACTAAACAACCCGCGCCAAGACATAATTCGCGGGTTGATAATCGCGGCATCACCTGACATTATCGTAACTTTTCTTTATCAATAAAATTCGCTTAGGTTCATGCGATCGATCGTTAGGTTGAGAAGATATAAGCTATTTCGATGTTAAATTATTGTTATTTTTAGGAAATTTGAATATTATGATGAAAAATTTTTAAGGATATTATGTTACGGTTGATTTTTAATTATGTAGCTGTTAATACCATACATCGTGCAATGATATTCAAGACATTTTATATCATGGGACTGGAATTAAATATTATTAAAATTTTAGAAAGGTACGATTCGATTCATTCATAAATGTCGGGCTGTCATAAATTGTTACATGATTAATCAGATTCATGGTGTTAGTCAATTTTTGTATGTTACAAAATATTAAATTTTTATATACATGAAATATTTTCTTTTCCATCACCGTAATAAATTACATTTAAGAATCATAAAGTTCAAGAAATAATTTCAAATTTGTTCAATCGTTTAGGAAATTGAAAAAATTTGTTAAATATATTTTGCTTGTTACTAAATAATAACAAATAATGGACAAATACTATAGCTTGTTTTAAGACAAGCTGTTAGTTCACGTTTGTTAAAAAATGGAAAGATACTTTTCTAGTTTTCTATTTTATGAATGATATGTGTGACAGAATATGATTCACTTGTACCAATACCTTTGTATCTTTATCAGTCATATATTGATCGACAATGTTTTCACATTTTATAGCAGATGGAAGCTGAACATAAAACTGTGCTGTGCTTTCTACATTAGAAATTCTCATTTTGAGAGTTTGACCACCCAAGAGACTTATGTCTACTCTTTCTACATCATTGAACTCTTTTTCTTTTATGTTAGATATTTCTGCAATTAAAATATAAAAAATATATTGATGATTTTTTATATAATGTAACATTTATTATAAAATACAACCTCTTATAATGTAATGCGCATTGAAATATAAATGGATTTTGAAATAATTCTTACCACTAACTGTTTCAATTTTTATAGAGACAGCAAGATTTTGTTGTATTAACATACTACCCACATCTTGTCCATTACGATTTAATGAAATTACATATAGATCGTCACTAAAACTATGGAATGTGCATTCATATTTGTCAGCGTTAAAGCATGCATCGAGCGCGTTATTATCCATTCCGGACCAATTCGAATTATTAGGTCCAATATCTTTTAAGGAACAAAGCACTGCTAATTTAGGCAGCTGCATGAATTTTTTCTCAACAGGATAAATATTACGTCGATCAACGCTTGCGCAATTTCCAAAATCTATATACCGAACTACGTATGTATCCATTAAAGTATCAATATTCACAACTTCCGCTCGATAGAAAGCTTTATCTTCAGAAAATATAGCTATGACTGTTCGATTATAGTACTACTTTTCACAAATATATATGAATCTGTTCTTAGAATAAAAACAATAAAACTGTGAAGTAGACTAAATATATAAGAACAGAAATTACCTCCAATTTATATGTTACAAATTTACTATTACTAGTATAAGTTTTTTGAATCTCGCTCATCATTGTTTTAAATTCTGTTTCTTTAGATAATATTTGACAATATAACTTATTAGGATTAATAAACCATGTCACGATTATATCATGTTTAGATTCAGGCTCATATAAAGTTGTTTGCCATTTTGAGTCAGGAGAAGCATACTTTGTAACCATTCTGTTTTCTGTTACAGTTTTAAATGCTTTTTTATTTGTTGCAGTTTGTTTCGCTTTTGTTAAATCTGCGATTGTGCAAAACTCTTCATTTATATACTTAATATTCGATACATCATCAACAACTTCATGTAACAGTACTTTATACATTTCGTTTTCTTCAAAAACAAATTCCGCCTGTAAAGATTTCCCGTCAGTCTTCTCCAAGAAAATCGCATGTTGCTCTTCCTCATTGCCTGTATTTGTCAATCCGAGCAATTTACAATGTACCGCTTGCATTGGTAGTTTTAGAAATTCTTCTAAAATGACTTTGATGTTCATAAAGTTGACTAATTCGGTATTTCCATAATCAACAAATTCCACAGTCGCGCTGTTCTCTTCTACAGATTTGATTACCGCTCTGTACCATTTAAGATCCTCTGAGTATTGAGCAATACAATATATACCGCTTTGTATCTCGGAAGCTTGCATTGTATCTCCACCATTCTCATAAATTGCAGCTATACGTTCCATAACAGAATTTAGTTCTAAGCACTCAGGACTTAACTGAACAAAAAAATCCAACGGACTATTAAGAAACACAAGTTCGCAATTCTTCACGGAACCAAGAGTAATATCAATTTTCATGAGTTGCGATTTTTTGCTAGCAGTAATATTGTCCTGTAGTCTATTGTTTAGATTATTTTTTTTCCGTGATTCACACTCAGTTGTCTGTAAATAATATAAATGCGCATGTGATATTTTATAAATATTGAAAGCTATCAAACATACATTTCATGATATTTTATAATTTAATTATAATTAATTTTGTTTCTACCTGATTATACGTAACGTCACTTGTATTATTTTCTTTCCTGAATTTATTATTACTGTCATCACCTATATTCAATAAAATATATCGTAAAATCACCTTTTTATATTATACATTAAACATCAAAAACACAAATACATATTTATAAAAATACCATTAAATTTATCGTTTCTGTAATTAGCCTTATAAGATGGCTTTTTGTCATTCCAATTTGAAGTTTGCCACCTGTCCGATGCTCCACCATTGCGATTTCCTCCTCGGTTATCGTTAAAATCATTACGTTTAAAACCACTTTTCCCTCGTCTATCATTATCTTTGGACGAAGTATCTGAATCTTTATCGCTATTTTTATCAGAATTGTAACGGTTGTATCTCCTTTCATTACCAGAGAATCTATTTCCATTATCGCGAGAGGTTCCTCTATTAAATGAATCTCTGTTAAATGAATTTCCATCACTCTCGTCGTGTTTGTTATATGATTTCTCTCTATCAAATCTATTGTTCGTTAGTTTATCTCTAATAAATCGATCGTTCTGTGAACTGTCACGATAGGAATAAGTGCCGCTTCTTTCACGTCGATTATCATATTGTTTTTCTTGAGACGATTCATCTCTCCAATTACTTGATTTATTGTCTTGGAAAGGCTTAGCGTTTTGATTGCGATTCCAAGAATCCATGTTACTTCTTTTATTATATTTGTCTTTATCTTCACTGTAAAAAAAATGCAGCTGTATTAAAATAATTTTCTTTAAACATGTAAAAAAAAACTATCTCACAAAACTATGACAGTTAAAAAATTATCAATTATATTAAATATTTATTTATAAAGAGAATTGACAAGTCATTAAAAATTAAAGCAAAATTTAACGCAATATAAAAATTATATAAAAGAGATTGTATCATAAAATGCCAATATTTTTTAATATAATGGAATACAAGTATTTTATAGCTTAAATCAAACATAATTTTATATCATTATAAAGTATACATATGTTAAAGTATACATTATTTTTCTAGATTTTCATATGAGATTTGCATATAAATGTATCTTATTCAATAATTTTATGAAGTTTGTGAATAATAATAAATATATTATTATTCGTGATAATTAACGTTGTAACGCAATTCCTGGTGAAAAATGTTTGTTTTAATTTTAATATCATGTTCATTGAATATATTTAATTTTAATATCAATATCGTTTCAAATTAAGGATTACGATTTATTACCTTTCATTTTTTACAGAATGCTGAACTTCTTCATTTCGCGAACTTGTAGAATTTTCAGTTTTATCGCAGAATAAATTGTTTAATAATTGAGGATGAACACTTCTCATTGTATCAAATTCAAATAAATCAACTAATAGGCCATTGGGTTGTGCAGCAACTACTTTCATATAAAAACGTTTCTCAAGTGTCAATCTTTCAAAATGATTGGAGACTTCCTGATCTAATGAAAGCACCTCATAACCATTCAACGCACACTGTATAGCTTGTGCAGGCAATTTTGTTACTAAGTCATCATGAATTACACGAAGAGATATTACAGATACTATCTCTTCGTTTCCATAATCAACATATACTACTTTGACTTTGTCTCCAACAATGCCAAGAATTTGTGCACGATACCTAGAACAAAAAAAAATACATGGAAGTCATTATCAACTCAGAAAACAATAGTAGAGAACATTGTGCCATTTCAAAACATACCATTGTGAATCATATAGAGCTGCACAGGGTTGTCCTGCTTTCAGTTGTGCTATATTTAAGGTAGATGCAGTTTTAGCATATTGCGTCAAGCCAGCCATTATTGACTCGAGAGATTTTACTCCACTGTCAAGTTGCACAAAGAATTTTTTACACGATTCTACGTACGAAACGTATATAACTTCCTGGAAATCTTTTGTTAATCGTCTTAATTGTGGATACGAATATGTTATCGGTACTATTGCAGCTGGTTCTGGGAATGCTTTCTTCAACAGATCCTTTACATTGACACCATTATCGTACAAGTCGCCATACTGAATCAACGGTGGTCCTTCTGGTGGACGGACATGTAAAATAAGTAATCTTCTATACACTAGTTCCTTAAAATACTCTTTCATCTTCTGTGTGATAATTAATTCTTTTAAGCCGCTTAAGGTAAATCGAATAGAGAGCACCTTGGGATTAATATATTCAGGTGGCAATTGAAAAATGTCTGTATATGGTAAAACTTCTGTATGGCCAAAATCGACGTAATAGAGTTTACATTTATGTTCCATAACAGACATTACAACCGCCCGACATAGTACTCTCTCTCCCCCAGGATCCTTGTAGCGTCCCAAGCAAACTGATCCTGGTAATGGTGGTTCTTGCAATGGTTTTTTCGGGTGATTGTTTATTTCAGTCATAAGACAAGTCAGTACATCTCTCGCATTTTCAACTTGTATAGAAAATTTTTGCGGGCCGTCTTCTACGTGCGATATGAACACATCATGACGTGAACCCACCTCTAATACTCGTGATTTAAAAACGAGCGCTTCTTGAATGGGTGGTGGCGGCGGATGTTGCAGTATCGGTTGAGCAATATGTTTAGGTTGATTTACATTAGGAGAAAAAGTCTTGTGATACATCCCTTGTACATTGGCATTATGATTTGGATTTTGCATCATTGGCATAGCTGCAAAATTATTCACATTGCCCTTATTTTGTTGTTGATATGATATTTGTTGCATTCGTAATTGCGGTGTATGTTTTGGTCTAAATAATGAAGAATGATAAATTATTCAACAGTATAAAAAGAAAGTAGTCTTTTATTTTCTGTCGGCCAAATCTTTTATTTTCTGTGAAATTTTCATCAATAACCTGAGTTTTAGGTGTTAATCATAGTCAGTTCTTGTATTTAAGACCATCTTAAGATATCATAAGACAATTAGATTCACACACATATTAGCATCTCAAAACATTACTTGAAACTGTCTTAAAATAAGAACTGACTAAATAGCCTTTGAATTTTAGTGCAGATTTTTATATTAATTTTATAGATTGTATAGAAATCTAAAAAAAATCTTGCATACTTGTGGAAGTTTTTTGCTATCGTAGAAATCAGATTGTATATTTACCTTTTTTTTTTGTAGATTCAAATTTATTAGAAACGAAATTTAAGCCAATAAGAATAAATCAAAAATTTCTATTTTCAATCAAAACAGATCTTAGTATTTGATGTTCTCATATGTAAAGCAAATATTTTTTAATTAAATTGAAAAATGTATTTGCAAATTTACATATGAATATTCTGAAGCAAAGTGCCTTTCCATACCGACGCTCGATGCTCATTTTTGGCATCAAAATAAATCACACGGTAGAAATTGATGAATATCAATTTTGATCATGTGATCTATTTTGATGCTGAAAATAAATGTTCAGCATGAAAAGACATCTTTAAGATCTAGTTTGACTCAAAATAGAAATCTTTTCTTTATTTGATTTATGTATTAGAATTCATAATTAAAATATCGAGTATCTTCGAAGTTCAACTTGGCTGGCAGAAGATTAAAAATATATCTCCTTTTTTATTAAACCTAAAAAAATTAATTATAAAAAGTTATACCTAAACATATCTTGCAAAGTGGCTGGTAAAGCCATACGTTCTTTGACCAACAACTCGCTGAAATCTTCATTGTTGTACCACAGTTTTATTAGGTAATGATTATTCATCATTTGAACCAATACTCTATATTCATTGTAACATATACTCTTTTTAATTGACTCAATCGTTCTATTATCCCAAACGCCATTTACAGGCAATACATTAAGCAATGTAAATTCAGTTGCCATCACTGGATAAGCTTGTAGAGGTTCTGCTCCACGTATATTGTCCAAGAGATGAATATCGTTCAGTGATATAGCCTCCATGTTGCCGTAGTCAATAAACTGTACGACAATCATGCCATCAGGACGTATACTGACTATTTTTGCTCGATAGTAACCTTCGGTCTGAAATTTAGCACAGCATAATGATCCAACCATCAACCTATTAGTTTTAGATGGGCAGCCATATCCTTGATTAAACTGTTCTATCAGAGGAAATATATACTGCTCGATGGCAATTGCTGTCTGTCTGTCCATCTGGGCCCATATCTTCAGGTATATGTCGTCAGGTTCCACATGAGTGATATAAACGACGAGTTCAGAAGTCGATTGCTGGCTCATGTTAGCTCGCTCTGGCAACATTTTTGTAGGTCGAATAACTTCTTATCCGTGTCAGTCTTCTGGATTGTATTTCTTGCTTCTATTTAGAGACTCCTGCAATATCGATATAGGCATAGTTAGTCCACAAGAAACAATACAATCTCCTTCATTCGCAATGTGGAGGGATGAATGTTTCGATACCGCGATTATTAAATTACGTCTCTTGCTGATTATACAGGCGCAATCTATATGAATCTACACAGCTAAAAGATCATGCAAAAGACAATGTGGCAATCGAATATTCTTGTTTCGATTCGAACTGACAAAATCTCGAATCGGCAACTCGACGCGAATTCGCCATTCGTTGGTTCATCGTTTCTAGCTCGTACATTTCAACGTTACCTATCACGTTGTTTTCATGTCTTCCAAATGAAATTCATGAGCACGTTCCACTTCATTCAGTTTCTGCTTCTTTCCCTCTTCTACCCGCTTTCACTACCGAGACTCGAGAACCGGGCGATACAATTACCGAAACAATCGTGCCCTTGCTGTCGACCCTTTCAGTGAACGAATGAAAAACCGTGGTGTTTACAACGCACACTCCAATCAACAATGCGGACACGTAACTTCTAACAGGAGAAAAAAAAAAATTCGCAAACGAACGGGATATGAAGCGCTCGAATGTTGTACAGTTACCTGAAATTCAATGCAGCTCTCGCATCGCTCTTTTTCAATCTATTTCATCATCAATGATATAAATCCGTTATTTCAAGCTATGAAAACGCGTTCTTCGAAAAATTAACCACTTTTGGCGCTTATTCTTTGTTTTAATATGGACAATCTACGAATGGATTTTTCTTACGTCATCGTAAGTGTCAAGAGGGCGCTTCAAATTCAAACGATTCGACAATCAATATCGAATATATATAATTATCATATATATATATCTATATATATATATATATATCTATATATATATATCTATATATATATATATCTATATATACATATATAGATATAAAATATATTTAAAACATATATATGAATTATTGAAGATACATTTGATTTTTTGTAAATGAACTGTAAATAAAAAATATTGACGATTTATTGTTATATTGACTGTTTACCATGTAACTTTCGCAATTATTGCAATTTGTTAATGTCGTTTTCTCTCTCTCTCTCTCTCTCTCTCTCTCTCTGCACAAGTTAATTTTAAATATAGTTACTCACACAGGAATACAAATTGCAATAAATGTGAAAGTTTACAATATAAGTATTAAAATATTGAAAAACAGTAGCACAGAAAAAGAAAGTAAACTGAGGTAAATAAATCTAGTGTTTGAAATAAAAAATTTTATTATCTTGCTTTTTAAAAATTTTCCTTGCGGAATATTTTTATCCGTGTATTTTCATCTATTTACAGATATATCTTGTATTAAATTAATAAATATTCTTATAGGTTCTAATTTTCTTTGTTTTACTTGGAGAATAAGCTACAAATTACCGAGAAAAATGCATCTTTTATTTCTATGTGCATTACAAGAGAAGAAGATAATTCGATATTTCTAAACATTGAAGATTACAGATTTTATTCAAAACTAGTGATTATCAATTAGCGAGTATTGCACTCAAATTTTTTAATAAATACATGTTTAATTCTTATATTCTCTTTTTATACGCCTTTCTAAGGCATGAACACATTTTTATTATAGAAATTTTAATATATTTTAGAATAGCTATAGTATATTTATCTTATTTTATACGACTAATTGTTGTCACAGCAATAAATTTATATTACTGCTATCCAACACAGTAATTCTCATAGTTAGACTTTTAAGTACATTATTCATCAACAAGTGATTATTTTGTAAATTGTAAATCCGCACTTCGCAAACTCTTACTATTTTCAATGACAACTTAATTGATACTTTTCTCGTCTTATTATAATTGTAATTAAACAGTTTTTAAGAGCAGGGAGAGAAGAGCGTACTTACTAAATAAAGATAGCTATCTAATTCGAAATATACTTAATTGTAGGTATATCAATTTCCATACATAATTGAGCAATGTAATTTGCTAGATCAATAAAATTTAAATATTGATATACAGGATTGGCAGTAACGCGTTACTTTGTTGATCGTTACCTTATATCGTTATAACAACGATTTGATAATGACATTGTGAATTTTTTATGACGGTAATGGTAACATCAGAGTACAAAAAATCAAACATTACTTGTAACGGATTGAAAAGTTATTCGTTATTGAAAAAAATAACTCCTTTTTCCTTTTAATTTGTAACATGTTACTTTTTTACTTGTAACAAATAACGTTACGCATTGCTCATTACTTATTACTTTTTTTTTAGTAAGTAACGCGTAATGATGATAAATTATTTTTCAAAGTGACTTTTCTAATCTTAGCACAACCTTAGCGTTTAGTTAGTTAGCGTTATCGTCATAAAAAATTGCAACATCGTCATTAAATTGTTTACTATAGAAAGTAACGCTAAAGTAACTGATAAGTAACGTTTGTCAATCTTGTTGATACACTTACAAATATGTGTGTGCGCGCGCGTGTGTGTATAGAATACTATCTTATTGAGCTGAGTAGCAATACAAAAAGTATGGAAATGAATTGGATATTCTGAAATAAGATTGCGACGGTCTCTGATAAATATAAATTCGATGTTTGTAGCTATGAAAGAGTGGGATGATCCGAAATCGACGTGTCTTCCGTATCTTCTTCAAATTCATTATCGCTGTTTAAGGACAGATGCTCTCTTAAAACTAAAGAGCGCATTTGTTCTAGGACTTGATGCAAGGAATCCGACCTCTGATCTACTCTATCGTTTAGAGGAGTAGCATCACCACTCGCTGTCCCACCTGCAGGTGTCTGTGGCGTATTACTAGGTGGTATAGGAGTATTTGTGCCGTCTCCTGTACCTGTATATAATATTCAAATTTGACCAAAGATATGCTTATAAACAATTTTGAGAGCTTTTTAGCAAGAGACGCAGATGACATAGTATGACATAATAAAAATTAGAGACCTTATAACCGAATCTGACCAGAGTTTGAATGATTTTGTCAAAATTTTATGAGATAAAAAAGAACATATACTGTCTCACTTTAAGTTATATTGTTTCACTCTGCAGTCTTCATTAAAATTATAGAGTAAGACATTAATTAGGATAAAATAGTATATGTCTATAGAGGGAAATGGTATATACCTTTCTCATAGGATTTTGACAAAATTGCCCGTGGTTATAACTTCATTATAAGATCTTTACATTAAATCATTTCATCTTTGCTTAATATTGACAAAAGATGTAATGATTCATTATATGAAGCATCAGACTAGAAATTGAGATTGGAATTTGAAAAATTAAAGCAATGTTCACCGAATTCGATATTGATTTTCTTTCTTCTGAATAGTTAAATTCCAATCCAATCTCATTCTCTAATCTGATACGGACTTTACAATGTGTCATCTGAGTTTTTTTAATGGAAAGTATTCTTTATTATTCCGCTTATCGCAATCTTACCCATACTATCACTTGCAGGACTAGCTGGTCGTTCTGCACCTCTTATTTCTCTGACGATCTCTTCGTCCTGTACGTTGAGCCGTAATCCAGCGACTCCTTTTCTTGGAACATTATATAGATCTCTTTTGATTCTCCTTCGTCTAGAAGGATCATTTCTACGTAATTGGAGCATCGAACCAAAGTCGGCAATGTAAAGAAATCCTGCAATCAACAACTCGCAGGTCCTTTTACCCTGTTTATATGCCGTTTCTAATTCGATACTTGTACGCTGATCATATTGCCACCAACCTGTAAAAATTTACTTAAAGCCATTTGTTCCATGTTACAATAAGAAAGAGAATAAACAGATCATGCGTCATTACATAAATAAATTAACAGACATGTAAAAAACTGCAGTTGGGAAAATATAAAAAGAAACATATTTTTAGTAAAATATGGTTTTATTAAAAAGAAATATATTTCTTTTATGTTAAGTGTCTTAGTTATATATTATTATTAGCATTAACTCTTTTAATTGTTAAAACTGTTAATACTTCATATACTAGCATATATACATAATTCTTGCGCACACATTCCATTTTTATTTCTAATATTGTTTTTACCTATGCAATGCTTCATTGAATGGGCGTACGCAGATTTCAGTCGGGGGAGAAGGCGGACAAAAATTTCAGACCAAATTTATTAAAATATACCTTTTTCCAGCTTCTTTCTTTTCGCGAGCTTCAGTAAAGCTATTAAAGAATCCAAGTAAGAAATTATCAGTGACCTCTTCTTATGACGAATTCGATTGGATGCACTAGTACGCACTGGTGCATATTAAAATCGTTGTACACCGATTTAATTTGTAATAGGAAAATGCAAATATTTCGAATTATAAAATACATATTTTATCTAATGGCACAATAAAGTGTATCGAATATTTCACGATTTAACCGATATTTATAAACATATCTTTACTTGTGTATAACGGCTTTAATGCACACCAGTGTGCACTAAGTGCGTCAAATCGAATTTGCTATTAGGTTTTTTACTAGATCTAAATGTATAAGTCAATCATATTAAAGAATTTTACAACAGTTGTAAAGCTACATTTTCGGCTGAACGCAGCTAATAATTTTTATAATTTATTTCTTCTTGCCAAAATTTAGGGGAGCAAGCGCCCCTCCCCCCTACATACGCCCATGCTTCATTGTGTATAATGTAAAATATAATTTTAATACAATATTGTATATATAAACATAGTTCAATATTATGTTGTAAAATAAGGGCTTAAAATTGGATCTTCACGAGCAAATAAACTATATATTTTATATAAGTTATCGTACACCCGAGACACCCTTGCACGGAGCATCTTTTGTATCACGTTTGATATTACGTTTATAACGTGGGTTGTATTTTCTATATTGACATTTGTTTACAAAGTCAATTACGTAAAGCATGCCACAGATCAAAAGTTCGCATTGCGCGTCCCCTAGTTTGTAAATAGTCTCCAGATCATTGCTTGTCCTTGGATCATATTTCCACCAACCTAAGAAGGGGTAGTATATCAAATTTTGTGCGCCCTTGTATAAATGCTTTAAAAAAATTTGCAAACTAGAGAAATTTAAACAAAATGTAACAATAAATGAGATATTTATAAGAATTTCCCATCAAAAGACAACACAATTGCAGATTTTAAATGCTGACCAATTTCAATTTAGTGTAATCTTTAATTAAATTAATATTTTACCATTTCGGCCTTCGTAAAACCATTGGTATTCTTCCTCGGGATGTTCCAACTCCTTCTGAGGCTCCTCCACTTCCACCAACTGAGGTCTCTCAAGAAAATCTGGCGGAATCTCTTGACGACACATTGGACATCGTTTGCTCTGATTAGCAACACCCTTCACACACAAATAGCAGTATATATGACTGCAGGGTAATCGCGCTGGATGAATGCAAGGTTGCAGGCATACTGCACATTCTGGTACGACAGTAGGACCTACCAAAGCAACACATAGATCAATATATATATAAAAAATAAGATTAAAGTATTATATTAAAATTTTTTATTAATTAATATTTCTTATTAATTAACAAAAGATTCAATACAGTTACTATATAAAAAGCTTTTCAGCAAGAAATGATAGTTTGAAATCAATGATAGTTTATCTCATAGGCTGTGTTTTATTTGCTGTTCACAATGCTCCAGGAATTATTTTATCTTTATTGTTTATCAACTGTTAAATAACAAAGACAAAAACAAGGGAAATGGTGGCTCACAAGCACTGTGAGTGCCAAATGGAATGTACCTACAGTGAATCATTTCATCTTTATTTAACATTGGTAAACAATAAGGACATAAGTCTGTTTTTATAGCTGAATTAGTATATACTTTTTATACTTAAAATGAAATAGATACATGATTTAAATTTGATAAAAACAAAAAAAAAGATTCTAATACAGTCTACTGCAGCAATAAAAAAACAAACCTATTGTATTAAACTATATCACCTGTGTCTTTTGCTAGAACCCATAAAGTACAATGTAAAACATATAAGGCTGATGTTCATAGGCCGATATATATCCACAATCAAGTCTTATATTTAAGACTGTCTTAAGTACAGTCTTGAGATATCATCGAAGATCTCACAAATCAATCAGAGGGCTACATTAGCAACTACTCTTAGAAACTACTTAATATAATCTTAAAATAAGAATCGAATGTAAATACTGGCCATAATCTATTACTATTTCAAGACCATCTTAAGTGATGTATTAAGATGCTAATACAACCTTCTAATTGATTCATGACTTAAGACTGTACTTAAGACGGTCTTAAATAAGAATCAGTTATAAATATTGACTAAAAACATGATTACTATATATATACTTTTTATATTCTAATATAATATATAACACTATTTTAGATTAATGTTATATATAATGCGATTGCTATTATAATATATAAACAGTAGTCGTGTAAATCTTATTTAAAACTACATAATATATCATTACATAGCGTATCACGGAATATAGTTTCTTGGATGATTGGGATGATAACGCAATGATTCATGTTAGTATAAAACAAGTACATACCTTCCTTTTCCTCGGAATCCTTGTCCTTTTCTTTGATACCTCCACCAGATTTCTCCGGCACGTCGAGTTTCGCTTGTGCCATGACAGAGTAGATTGCACAATCTGACCTGATAGGGTCAGAACTTCATCGATATAATCGATTCCTTGTCTAGTTTGTAAACAGCAGCACGCGTCTTGTCAATACTCGCGAAGGTCAGCCATGTTGCTTATTATTATGACGTGTCCCGGGGCTCTCAACTGTTCTCAACCTCGCGACGCGACACGCGACTCACGTGCTGTCTGAAGTTATCACTTTTTCTGACGTTCATGTAGGATTTGAAATGTGTGCTTCGAGATTGCGATTCTCGCAATCGCGATGTTCAAGTCGTGAAGATCAGTCGGACGCGCGCGTGAAGATCGATCTGTGCGGTATAATTTTTCGACAAATAATTCCGTTGGCGATAATTTCATGCGCGATCTATTCATCTTTCAACGATTCGGAAACTCGCGCAGTAAGCAAGCGTCAGTATTTGTCAATTATCGACACTGATCATTCTCGAGCTCCGTGATTCTTTTTTTCACGGTTGCGATTCGACGCGAAACATCTCGAGGAAAAAAGAGAGAGATATATATATATATATATATATATATATATATATATATATATAGAGAGAGAGAGAGAGAGAGAGAGAGAGAGATACAATTCTTGCATGTAATTTCATTTTGAACGAATTTTATTCTTTTTACTTTAATGTTGACAAAATTTTAAATTTAACGGCAAAATTACTTTGCATTTTTTCTGTTGTTGCAAATAAAAATGATATTCGGGTTTTTTTTTTAGGTTGACGGAAATCTGTGCCGAGAAGGAACAAAAAGGATGGAAAATCAATTTCGGAGATCGTTTATAAATCTTCTTGCTTCACAGCTATTCGAATATAATATACTGAAGCAAAATGGCGGATGAAGTGACCGCGACGCTGGTAAGTAAATTTATTAATTAGTGGAAATGAGAGATAAAAGTTCTTTAGAAATTATTTATTCACATGACTGATTATTAAATACTGTGTTCTACTGTAGTGCATCTTCGATCTCTCGTGATGTTAATAATGATTTTTTATTCTGTTCTTACATCATTATATTGTGTCCACTTACAATTAGGCAGTTATAAACTTATAAATATAATGTGTTTATCATAATGCTGTACAGAGAATTAATTGAATCTTGACTAGGATAAGGAATGAGACTTAGGACAACTTTGATAAACTCTGATTAATAATTGATTGGATTATCAAACAGTATCCATTATATTTTATTAACATATTTTATTGACATATGTGGATTTCTAATTAATTTTAATCTCTTTAATTTGGTCTTAATTATCTTTTTCCAATTCTTAGAACTAGAAAAAGATGAAAAAAGTAAATTAAATTGGGGTTAAAGTTACTCTAATTCAAATGGATATTGATTGAATTAATTACAGATTAAGTTAATCAAAGTTTGATTGAAATCAATTTCGGGATAATTTCGGCAATTTATAATGAAAGTAATAAATTTATCAATTTACTATTTTATTAGCATGGATAAAACTATTAATTTTTTACTATTTAATATATAGAAAAAGTGATTCGGGAACAATAGATTATATAGTTAGAAACTTTGTTTTAAGAGTAATTCTACCAGTTAAATTAATCATCAATAAAATTAATATTTAATCGAAGAATTTGATCAAAGTCGTCTGCAGTTTGAAAGTTCATCGTATTAATCTTTAACAGGATAAAATTTTGGGGAATAAGAAAGAGTGGACTTCTTTTATATTTTGAGATTCTTTAAGAACGGAGAAACTTTTATCAGTTCACTTTACAACAATACAGAAATTATTATTTACTACGGATTTACAAGATATTTTTTACAAGCACCCTCATGAGATTGTATGGAATGATATACATCTTTGAGCACAACAGCTTTCTATTAGCTGCAAAGAGACCGATATTGAGTTTGTTACGATCACTAGTTACTATATTGTTAAGCTCGTTATCACGTTTTCAAATCCTTATTAGCAACTATAACGTCTTGTCACGAGTAAAATTCGCCGATCGCGATATTGGTCCAAGCGAATCTTTTCTGATGAAACTATTTAGCTTATAGCTCGGTGCGAGCTATTAACACGAGCCTTTCGAGAAACGGATAACTCTGTGATAATGAAAGATGAACTGAAAATGGAAAATATCAAATGTGTTAAGTGCATAAATATATTCTTTAACGTTAATTAAGTTAATTAATCGAAATATTTATTTTTGTAATTATTAAAGCAAACGATTATACAAAAGAGATAACAATCTAAAAAAGATGTTTTCCAAATATATACAAATATTTTTCTGACAGATTTTAGATTTTCATGCTGTTTAGATAATCTAACATGTTTTTTCTCCTTTTCTCTTTTAATCTGTTTTGTTTAATAACATGTGTATAAAAAAAATAATGATATTTATGAATTTGGCACTCAACACGTTCGAAACTTTCCGATTTGATCGGGAAATACGATTCGTTGTTCCTGTGAATATTCACAATAGTCCTTTAAAGGAAAGTATAGATAATCCACGATCAATCTAATGATAACACTGATTCGATAGAGGATCTATTCCTGCGTGGTAACATCGGACCACCAAGATAGCTCAGTGGATTGCCGAAAGTTCGTTGGCCGTCCGGCAAGAAGATAGGAGACGTATTGAAAGTTATCGGCTTGTCTGGTGCTAAAATGAAATAATCTTCATAATTAACTCTATTCGATTAAGCAGATTTTTTTCGAAATTATATATACATGTAACTCCCATAGTAAAAAAAGTAAATCATAATAATATTACAAGTCATGATGAGATGCGAAATGTTTGCTCACAAGTATCACTAGACACTAAGACTATGTTTCAAAATTTATTGCCAGTACTAAAAGTCTATAGTTTATGTCTCGTGTACTATAGATTTTCAGTACTAGCAGTAAATTTTGAAACACAACTTAAGTATGTAACTGATGAAAGTTGCACATCACTATGATACTACTATAATATATACAGATCAAGATATGTGACATGTCATTGTAATCTTTTTATTAATAATCTCACAGTGATATCACAATTTATCCATTGTGAGTTTATTGTGATGTAAATGTGACTTTTTTTTCTATGGGGAAAGTATTTCATGACTATTTAAAAAAGCAAAATAATTAAAATTTTGGTTAATCTCGCAATGATTGAAAGTAGCGAGATGTACACAAATAGAACATAATAAAAATAAAGCATAATTATAATTATATCATATAATTACACTTTTTGTGTAATGAAAAAAATCATTGGCTACGTTTAGTGGATTCAACAGTTGAGAGATTGAGCGCTCGCTGCTTGATATATTCTTTCAGATTCTAAAATACTGATTGAATGATCTAAAAGAATACACCAATAACAGTGAGCGCTCACTCAATTGTTGAGTCCGCTGAACACAGCAATTATAATAATAGGTATTTAAACATGTCTTAGATTATCATGTGTAAAAATTATTAATAATTTATTTTAAACTTTATTATGCATGTGTTGTTAGAATTTCTTAAGCCAAAGGAGGAAGTTTCTTTTGTGTTACTGACCTAAGTAATTCCCTTGCATCTTCGATTGTCTTCCAACGTCTCCGTCCGCAGGCGCCTAAACGATAAGTGAAAGTTGGTTTTAAAATACTCAATATCTCGCCGTACAATGGCGAAATAATGGATTCATTCTATTTTCTTCAATCTTTCGGTTAGTGCATGTACGTAGCAAACACGCTCAGACTTTGAATGGGCTTGTCTCATAGAGCCTCAGAGGTTTCTGTAGCTCAAAGCGTGCATGCGATGAAGTGAATGTTTTTCACGTGCCACCTGTCTCATCAGGCAATTCAGGATTAATCGCTTTCTATGAACTCGTGCAGGTTGCAATAAAAGGCTTCATCGATGTCTTCGTGGAGTGTTCTTAAATCGATGATTAGTTTAATTTGGGAATGGCGCCGGTTGTAATTTACATCAAGCATTGACATCGGCGTGTTCAGATCTCGATTCAAACGCGCGAAAATAATTTTATTTGCAATGCAAAATGCGACGATTACATTTCTTCGTGACATCCAAAGCTGAATTTATATCAAATTATTTAAACAAAAGATTCTCTGGATTTTATTCATTAAATTCTTTAAGAGATTGAAGAGATCATTCGGATTTTTAATAAATTCTTTCCAAGTAATAAAAAAATTAAATTATCATATCGGATCATCATGCACATGCTTATCTAATAGCGAGAGAAAAAGAAATTTTTCATATATAAAATACATTGTTTACACAGATGAATCGTATAAGTAACGTGTAAAATACAACCTATCGAATCGTTTGTTCATTCCCAGGTTAGAACATTTCATTGCGAGGAAAGGCGACGAACTTGCGAGAAGAAGCTTGGTGGTGTAGGAGAGGCGTGACAGATGGTTATAGCGATGCAACAAACTCGAGTTAATGGAAAAAATCATATATTTTCTCTGTCATTTTTTTGTCTGTATATAACATGCTATAAAATCTCGAGACTCGCGGATTGATGATTAAGAACTGCTAATTTTTTCAGAAGAATATAAATTTTCTTATTCCGAATGGAATGCATTGAAACGTTTGTATCGAAAGAAAGATACATTCGAACACGCAAATATTTCTTTCATTCGCAAGTTATGATCTTATAAAGTTCATAATATAAACTATTAATATAGTTAATAAGTATTTAAAAGAAAACGGCGTAAATAAAAATGCAGAAATCGCCAAAATTGTAAAATGTAAACAGTCCACTGATTAAACTTTCGAGATAATAAAATTTTTGGTATTAATTTCAATTGTGACAAAATATTTTTTAATATATATATAACTAAATTATAATTTATATATATATAAAATAATTGCAACATTGTAATTACTTTATGATTACATGTGCGTTTGTTTGTGCTCAATTTATAATAGTATTTAATCAGGGAATTTCTTGTTAATTGTCAATGCATTCGAGAAATTATAGAAATTATAAGTGTAATATATTATAATAAAATATATTATAATAAAATAGATTAAACCTTGCGATTCAGAGAGGGATGAAGGCTGCGAAAGTTGCGAGCCATGATGCGATCGTCGAATTAACATTCGTATAAATTATTATCGACGTGCAAGACACATTGTAC